AACAATATTCAATATTCACAAGTAATAAATCAACAATCATTCAATCAATGAATCCTTATTCTAAACAATTTATCATCGTAAAAATAGACAATTGAAACCTTTACCATGTTACCAATACATTACCATTAAATTTGATGAGGACAACCAGCAATTAGCTCCCCCTCGAGTTCAGAGAAGACTAAAAAAAGTATAGTCTTCCCCTCCCCACGAGGCTCACTCCGATGATCGTCATTTCTCCACCCATTTACGCACTTCAACGTCTCGATTCTCCCCCAACTCCACATAAAATCTCCCCAAGAATAAAAAGTTCCCGAGGTGATTGAATGCAGAATTGTCAACAAACCCGACAGGAAAAAAGGAGACCCTCAAATGCTGCAATGACTGAAGAAGCCCTCGAACTTCCTCTTCTCAATCTTCTTAAACATCCGTTGACTTTCGAAAAAATTTCAAAAGAAGCACTTTCCTGCTGAAGAACAAGTAAACTAAAAAAAAAAACCCAAAAAAATCGCCTCTCTCATTTACCAAAAAGTTCTTGCAGAAAAGATTAGCGCAAAAAATTGCAGCAGTAATCTCTCCTCAAGTTCCCCTGGAAATAAATAAAGAGGCTTCAGCAAAAATCTGAAAAAAAAAACTTGAAACATCGACAAAAACCGACGTTGAATGAATAGACCTTGAGGTGAAACCTCACACGTGTCGACAATGACATTCTCAGAATAAAAAACTGCATTCACCCGCACGAATCAGCACACAATCGCCCCCTCTCTCTCTCTTTCATAAACTCATTCACAACTTTAAAAGGCATAACGATCTTACGAGCTAAACACAATTGAGTAAATGTCAGAGAAAATAATGCAATTAACAAAGTGAAGTGATATTTCAGCGATGAGTCAAGAACACATTCGTATTACCAATGAGTGTGATTCGATGACCTCAGGGTGAAAAACTGCCACTCCAATTTGTAATTTACGATAAATATCACAAAAAATGGTCAACAATAAATCAGTAAATTGCACATAAAAATCATCAACAGTTGCATATAAAATACCAGATAATCATGTAAATAATGAAAAGTGTCACCTGTATACCTTTTTACCAATTACCTGATGACCACCGGACGACAGATGCGAAGGGGGCATGAAATTCTGCTTGCAAAGGGCAAGCAGACATTAAATGCCCCAAAAACTGGTGAACAAAATCCCCTGGACGATCGCCGAACGCAAAGTGCGCTCGACGAAGCTCTTCTCTCTTCATTCTTCTCTCTTCTGTCTCCAAAAACCACTGGAGGCCCCAACGACACGGGAAAATGTCCCGATCGCCGGGCCCCCGAGTGCAATCAGCATTCGTCTTCATCAATAAATTCTCTTCAAACCCCCTAAACACTCGGGATATTCAAAAAATACAAGGTACATTGAACAGAATGAAAAACATGGAATATGACATGAATACACAAGTGACAAGAGTGAGAAAAAAAAAAGTGATGATAACAGTTACAATATCACCAGAATTACAACATGATAACTTCTTTATCGTTGTGTTCATTAAAATTATTTAGGTTGAAGAATGTTCTTTTTTTATCATCATCATAGAGTTGTAACATAATGTACCATAATTAAAGGTCAATAAATAATATGGATTGTTTTTGCTCCCATTCATGTACATATGTGAGAAAACATATGCATTATCAATATCAGGTATATAATAAAGTGAATCGAGTTAATCAAACATTTGATGTATATGCGTTACGAACAAAGAAGCGAGTTATGTACACGTGGGTTAGTGAAAAATAATGTTTTTTTTATATAATATATCATTGAGTGCAGGCGTGTACAGCGACTCACGAAATCCCTCAAAATCCAGTGAAAACATCGTCAGTTAAAGCCATAAAATCACTCGATTTCGTGAGTTGTGCACGCGTACGCTTGAGAATGAGTTAAGAGTAAAAAAAAATTACACTACCGAAGGAAGCGTGGCATGCAAGACGAATTACGAAAATAATAAAATGGCACAACGTAGTGGATATTCGATACTCTGATTTAGCGAAAAAAAAAATGGTAAATGTGATTCACACACTGTACGTCACGCACATGAATTACTCATTATGAATTGTTAACGCACGAGCGATCGACCCTTGGGATGAATATCAGAGTGATAAATCAAAAGCGCGAAGAACATTTAAAATAAAGACAGGTAAATGCATTGTGTAGATGTTAAAGTGAAGGTGTACTGTCTTCCCCGCGTGCCAATGGGAAAACTGAAAAATGAAAATAAAACCCGAGCACTTTGTTCCCTCGTATAATCACTTTGTGGAAAATTTAAGAGAGGATCGGTCGTACGAATCACAGATCTACTATTAGTCATGATTAAAATAGTAAAGCGTGCCTTTGTGTGAACACATTCCAAGATTTATCGTGTTACAGCACGATTTATCAAAGAGATATCCTTCGTTAATAATTCTCAACTACGTATTCATAAGAAATTACTACCAACAGGAAAAAAAAACACGAACACGACTACGAGAGGTGGTTTCTTGTTTCTTTCTGGGATAATTTTTGGGGAATAATAGCGATTACAACGAACGAGGACGATGCGACGTTAATCACTCAACTCGTGAACAACGAGGCATCCCCCTTTTTCACTGCACCGCATTATCACAACATGTAAATTGATATTTTCAATTCTACGGGCACTGTCAACAGCGTGGCGCAACATCGGTCGTAATTGATAAAATAAAAAACTTAATAATTCAGTGAAAAAATCTCAACTAAAATCAGTCAAATGAATTAAGGGCACTCAGACGACGAAGCAATTGGAATTCGACTTGTCATTTTCAATTAATGCTGATCCCCGAGGTTATTTGATAAATTTTATTTGTTTTATTCAAGGTAACAAGTCTCTGAGGGTGGAAATAAAACGACCGTTCTATCAATGCGTGCGAATGCCGCGTAAAACATGTTAGAAAAATCAAGTGAATCGATACGCGAAATTAAGCCATGAGATCAGTTCGAAGAAAGGGCTTTCCAAGCGTCTAAATTTCCAACTCAACTTTGAAGATAATAAATTCCGGGGTTAACCGCCAGCATTGACAGAGAGATCGTCCCCTCTCTCTCCCCAATTACCTTGAGTGCATCCCACGTTGGACAGCCCCCGCCTGGCCATCGAAATCCGAAAACGAGGGCGGAAGGGCTAAAAACCGTTTTCTTTTTTCAATTTTCGACTCCTGAAAAATCGCCATCTGCGAAACGCCCGGGGGAACTGCATCTGCCACCGACAGCTGTAGTCGCTAGGCAGATGCAAACCCGCCCTCGTACGTCCTCGGAATGCCATCTGCTCGTTTAAAAAAAAAAATCTCGCTCCATTAATTCCCTTTTCCGCAATCTCGTTTTCCTCAAATACAATTTCAACCGTATTGATAACTCGTGCCAATAACAATTGCGCAACATTCGCCATGGAATCAGCGAGGTTCATCGGCCCCCGGGTAGTGAATCTAGGTCATCGGAATTGGCTTTCTATCTCGCTCTCAGCAATTCTATCGGAATTGTATAAATTTCTTTTCCTTCTCACGCTCTAGCTATTCTCTCTCGGGGCTCATTACGAGACGATTTCTACTCTCAGTTTGTTGGAGAAAAAAAATTGTGTGCCCCCCACCCCCCC